TCTAATTTTTTTTAAAAATCAAAACTAATATACACTAATCTCATATAATAAATATTAAATAAATATATGGTATTATAAATAAATTGTTAAATAAAAATACACTAAATTACAGTATCACATAATATTATAATGAAAAAATACATATCAATTCTATTTCAAAAAAATTGAAATTTTAACCTTAAATTATTTTGTTTTATTTAATTAAAAATTAATTTAAAATTTAAAAATTATGTTATTAAATATTGATATTTAGATATAAAAATTGATAATATTAAAATATATAATAAAATTTTAAATTTAAATATTAATATTTAATAGTATAATATTTAAATTTAAAAATTATATTAATATCAACTAATTTAAAATTAAATTACAATAAATCACATAAAAAAATTTAGTATCTATTATTGTATTTATTAAATTTAAATTTAAAACTTTATTTAAATAATTTTTTTACCTAAATATATGACTTTATTTTATTTAGACTTTATTTAAATAAAAAAAATTAAATAATTAAATAACTCAAAAATCTCACTTAAATGTCAAATCCCTTGTTATATAAGCATGACGTGGCAATATTCCAAGTAGCCAACCGGGTGTGTCCTAAACGGCAGTAAAGCCAGGCGACGGAGTACCAAACGGCAATTAAGTTGGTGTATGAAGAAGGGCTTAATTGCTTTCATCCCAGAGTTTAAGGGCTTATATGCATCAATTAAAGTTTAAGGGCTTAATAGCGATTTTGGGTTTAGTTCAGGGGCTTAATTTGTGGTTTTGCCTAATTATTGTCATACAAGGAAATATTATTATCTGCAAAATAAAAAATGGAAAATGTTAGATGGCCACGTGAATTTATCTTCTTGTCTTTGAATAGCTAGTTACTATGTTACTATATTTGAATACTCCCTGTCAATTGATTTTTTGTCTCTATTTATTAATAGATATCAATTATTTTTTTAATTATTAATAAATAATTACAGTATCAATTATTTTTAACAATTAAATTAAATAATTTATTAAAAATCAATTAAATTAAATAGAGTTAATGTTTTTAAAGATAAATATTAAAAAATATATGTATTCCCAACACTTTTTGTGTAGCAATAACCACACATGTGTTTGTCATAAAAAAAAAAAATCTCTTTTTTAATAATAATAATGCATATCAATTCTAACTTTTAAAAAAATTGAAGTCTTAAATTTATATTATTTAATTAAAACATAATTGAAAATTAAGAGATTTACTTTACTAAATATTAATACCTAGTAGATTTTTTTAATTTTTAAACATAAATATCAATATTTAATAAAATAAAATTTTAAATTTTAAATTAACGTTTAATTAGATAAAACAATATCCTTTAAAATTGATACTTTAAAATTTTTTAAAAAATTAGAACTAATATGCATTATCCAAAAGTTCAAAATATTTTAATCTAACACAATTTTTAATAAATAATATTTTCTTTACACATTTTTTCTAAAGGAAAAAATTCCTCCAACTTTTTTAATATAAAATCCATTGGGCAATTTTTTTTTTCAAACTTTCACAATACCAGCTTCTTAATAAATATGAAAAGTAAATAATCTAATAAAATTTTAATGTATTTTTTAATCTATGTTTTAAAAATATAATAAATGATTTTTGGTTATAAATTTGTATTAAAAGATAAAAAATGACATTTAATTTAATAATTGTCTAATTAAATTTATTTACTTAACACCAACACTAAAATTAATATTAATTTTATATTTTTTATATACATTTATGATAAAAAAAAACTCTAGACTTATACCCTTAAAACACATAATAGAAAAACCTAATTTTATTTATTACAAAACTTATCAACTTTTTAAAAATAATTTCTAACTTTTTTATAGGGCACATTTTCAACCATTTTCTTAATAAATTTTATTTCTAACCAAAAAAAGAAGAGTCAAACCAAATTGGTATTTTCCCCCGGTTAATGGCACATTTTTACTTCCGAAATTTAGGACTCAACCCTTTATTTTCTACTAGATGCGAATTAGCTTTGGGAAAGGTTAAATTTCAATTTTAGTTCCTCAATTTTAAATTTTGAACACTTTTAGTCTTTTGACTATTTTAAGTATTTTTTGTCCTTCAATTCTTAAAAATTCACTTTTTTGTCTTTCTATTGTGACTGTTAATTCAATCCAAAAGGACATTTTTTATTGGCATGGTAATTCTAAGGACCAAACCTCCTATTTATCCCTAAACATGTTTTCTTTATATGATCAACACTCTAAAATAATTTTCTTTTCAATCAACATTTTTCATAATTTATATACTGTTCAAAATCTAAAAATGTAATGACAAGTCACGGAAACGTTAATTTCTCTATTAGTTGTATGCATGGCACAAGCAAGTCACCTAGAACATTATGTGGCAGCCTTTTTGATGATGTGGCTGCCACATGTGCATGGCCCCACCATTGATAGGAATTTCCCCACTTGTCCCCATGTCTACAGCCAAAAAAAAGTACTTGTTTTCTTTTTTGTGAGGGATTTCCAGCCAAAAAACTTGGTATTTCCAGGAATTTTGAGAGGGATTCTGATTCGCACCCATTTTCTTCTTCGTTAGCTTTCTTAAATCTTGATGGGCAAACGAAGGATGTTATGGAACTTAACACGTCATCAATGCAGATCTCGGGAACCGAGTAGAACACCTTCGATTTGAGATTGAAAATCTTGATGTGTTTGTAATTCTTAACACGCCACCAAGTCGTGATCGCATGTTGTTTTCCATCATGGAATGTTGTTGGAGTGAAGCAGTACAGATCAGGTTGTGTGACCCAAAGGGGAGCAATCAGGAATCCAGAGAATTTATGGGTATTTTCCCGGAAATTGAAGAGGTTTTGAGAAGTGGTAATAAATGAAAACTAATGGCAAAGACACCATTAAAAGAGAGTACGGAGATGGACAAGGATTGTTGTTGGGATGATGACAGTGATGAGTTTGAGAGGAGAAAAATTGAAGAGGAAGAAAATTAGAAAGGAAGGAGGCATGGTTTTAGCTTGACATAAGGTTTTGTATCGTGAATTTGTAGAATGGGTTGAGGGCAGGTTGTGCTTGGTGTGGATTTTTTTTTTTTTTTGGCCATAACTTGGTAGAGGTCTTTCACAGCGGCTTTACATCTTTAATGGAAGTAATATATTATGTTTTTTTTATTTGGCTGAAGACATGGGCTAGTTTCCTCTCGAACCCTACCTAGTTTCCAACTTGTAAGTCCCTCAAGGTCAATATGTATATATTAGAGATTACACCTTAAATATGTGGTTAAATATGTAACTCTAACCACATCCCTCAAGAAATTAGAAAGAAAATTATTTGAACATATTGACTGTAGGAAATGTCCTGATTTAAATATCTAAAAATTCAAAGAAATAAAAAAGCCGAATGAAAAGAAATATGAAAAAGTGAAAATCATTAGGAAAGTGAAAAAAGATATACATTTAACTAGATATTAAAAATGTAAATCTTTGACATTTCATAGTAAAAGTTTTGCTATTGAGTAGATGAATAAACTCCATTTCTCTTTTGTACATTTTAGGACTCCCATCTCCTCTTCAACTAAAGGCAAAATGAGAATTAGTTATGATTATTGTATGGATTCTATAATTCATGTTTGAATCCCATGAAAATGGTCAATTATTAAGAGTTTGTTAGAGGCAAAGAAAGGATGAGGAGAAAGTTTGCTATATCCCAGGGATACCACGTCAACAGTATCCTCAACTAATCACAGCATGCTACATCATCACATTTTCCCAACTCATTAGCCGTGTGTTTGCACTTTTTTTCCACCTCATTAGTATCCATTAATTAGGTGAAAAAAATGTGATGATGTGGTATGCTGTGATTGATTGGGGATATCGCTAATGTGGTATCCTTACGATATAGCAAACCTCCTCAAGGATGAGGCTTGGCTATTTCAAAAATTTTGGTTTGAGGTTATTTGTAGTCTAGAAAAGGTTGAGGTTACATTTGACATTTACAAAAATTGTTAGGGACCAAATATATGCCACTGACATTATCAATTAGCAAAAGCCTACTTTGAACCCCTCACCTTATCAAGTTTGAAGTTTTTAACCCCTCACCTAATATTATAATATTTGTAGCCCTTCACCTTACTAGATTTGTAGGTTTTAGCCTATCATCTTATACTATGACACTTTTAGTCCCTCACCTATTAAAATTGAAGAAAATAACCCTCATTTTGTAATATTTTGTTAATTCTGTTAACTGACTGTTAGTTAATACAAATGTTCTTTTAACTAACAGAGTTAACAGAACTAATTTTATAATATTTCGTTCATTTTGTTAACTGACTATTAGTTAATTATTAGTTGACAAAAACTTATTTTCAGCTAACAGAGTTAACAATCAGTATAAAGTGATGGTTATTTTCTTCAATTTTAATAAGTGAGGGACTAAAACTTACAAATCTAATAAAATGAGAGATTAAAAGTGTTATAATATAAGATAAAATGCTAAAACTTTCAAATTTAGTAAGGTGAGGGGCTCAAAAATAGGTTTTTTTTTTGCTATAAATTGGGATAGCCTCTGCAAACAATCAAATATCTCTCGATCATTTCCCCCTCCCTTCCTCCCTCCCTCCCTCTCTTCCCTAAACACTCCTTTCTCCATTGATCGCCATCATGGCTATGGTGGTGCTGACGGCAGTCTTGGTTTTATTCGTAACTTTATTTTTCAGAGTTGCGTATGATACCTTCTCATGTTATTGGTTGACTCCAAGACGCATCAAGAAAGTCATGGAGGAGCAAGGCGTGCGTGGCCCAAAACCCCGCCCTCTTACCGGAAACATCATGGAAGTGTCCAAATTCATCTCCCAATCCACCGCCAAGGACATGGATCACATCCATCACGACACCGTTGGCCGCCTTTTACCGCATTACGTCGCCTGGTCTAAACAATTCGGTAGTCCTTCCTTCCTTATGACTGGTTTGGTCAAAAGTAAGCATCCATGTTGGAATTAACAATTTTCTTCTTTTCTTTTCTTTTTTTAATAGGAAAACGATTTGTATATTGGCATGGTATAGAGCCGCGGATGTGTTTAACAGATACTGAAATGATCAAAGAACTCCTAACAAAATACAGCACCGTATCTGGAAAATCATGGCTGCAACAGCAAGGATCAAAAAACTTCATCGGCCGAGGTCTTTTAATGGCGAACGGGGACGATTGGTACCATCAACGGCATATCGTTGCGCCGGCATTTATGGGCGATAGACTCAAGGTACAACTTAAGATGTAAATTTTTTTTTTTTTTTATCAAATTGAAATTAGTTCCATGTATTAATTAAGGAAAGGAAAAATGAAATCCGTGGAACTTGAACACCTCATTTATATGAGGTGAACGGCCCTAACAAGATTCTTAAATGTAAATTAATTAATATACTGTCAATATAACTTTATATTTATTTATGTGAATTTTTTTAATATAAAGTTTTGGAATTGATTGGTTTATGGGAAATAGAGCTATGCTGGGCACATGGTGGAATGCACTAAGCGGATGCTCCAATCACTGCAAAATGCAGTAGAATCCGGGCAGACTGAGTTTGAAATCGGAGACTGCATGATTAGATTGGCCGCTGATATCATATCAAGAACCGAATTTGATTACGGTTATGAGAAAGGGAAGAAAATATTTCATCTCCTAACCGTTCTCCAAGGCCTTTCTGCTCAAGCCAGCCGCCACCTCTGCTTTCCAGGCAGCCGGTGAGTTTTTCTTTTTTTTAAAATTTTTTTTTTACATCCGAGCTGTACATCAATTAAAATAAATTTTAACCGACAAATTTCTGTCCATGAACGGGGTTTCTTGTTTTTTCCTTTATAGGATTTCATCTCTTTTTAGTAACCGTTGCTATCTTTTAACGTTTTGTCCAAATTGACTCATGATTTGTTCAAAGTAGTTCCATTTATGGATTCAATAAGAATAAATGTTAATATTTCTTCTTCTTTTTTTTTTTTTTTTTGAAAATTCTCAATTTTACAGGTTTTTCCCTAGTAAATACAACAGAGAAATAAAATCTTTGAAAATGGAGGTGGACAGATTACTGATGGAGATGATACAAAGCCGGAAAGATTGCGTGGAGGTCGGCCGGAGCAGTTCCTATGGCAATGATTTGCTAGGTATACTATTAGATGAGATGCAGAAGAAAAGAGGCAACGGGTTCGGCTTAAACCTGCAGCTGATTATGGATGAATGCAAAACGTTTTTCTTCGCCGGCCATGAAACAACAGCGCTTTTGCTTACTTGGACAGTGATGCTGCTGGCTAGCAACCCTACCTGGCAAGAAAAAGTCCGGGATGAGGTGAAGCAAGTCTTCAATGGCGCAACTCCCTCAGTTGATCTGCTCTCCAAGCTCACTACGGTAAGCAAAAAAATAAAAAATAAATAAAAATAAAAATCTAAATATAGATGGAAGGTGTGGAGGAATACAGAAAAAGGCGCAGAGTATATGTTAGGGACGTTTTCCCACTAAGTAATGCCTCCAAAATTTTTATTTAACCAAATTTGTCACTTTCTAATGTTTGGAATGTACCTACCTCGATCCTACTCCTACAGTAGTCTTAGCAGTCTCCCATAGAGCTAATTAAAAAACAGCGGATGAACAGGTTGAGATAAGTAATGGCATTAATCATATGTCTCGTTTGATTTTGCAGTTAAATATGGTTATAAATGAATCATTGAGGCTCTATCCTCCGGCGACTCTCCTCCCTCGTATGGCCTTCGAGGATATAAAACTCAGCGACCTTCTAATTCCAAAGGGGCTTTCGATATGGATCCCGGTACTTGCCATTCATCACAGCGAAGAATTATGGGGCAAAGATGCGAATGAGTTCAATCCAGAAAGGTTTAGTACTAGAAAATTTGCTCCCGGCCGCCATTTCATCCCCTTTGCGGCCGGAGCCCGGAATTGTATCGGACAATCCTTTGCCATGATGGAAGCTAAGATCATATTATCCATGTTGATTTCCAAGTTCAGCTTCACAATTTCAGAGAGTTACCGGCATGCTCCAATTGTTGTCCTCACAATTAAGCCTAAATATGGAGTTCAAGTATATTTGAAACCACTGAATAATTAATCACCCATGCTGATTCTTAAGTGGAGTTGGAGTTGATTTTATTGGGGACTTAGGGAGGTTGGTTTTGATATTATATATAATATTTTAATGTACTCCCTCCATTTATTTTTTAATAGTTTTATTTTTATTTTTTAACTTTTCATACATAAATTTCATATAAAAATTTAGCATATTATATAAATAACAATCGAAAAGTTTTTTTTCCTATATGAAGTTTTAGTCTAGTAATTTTTATTTAATAAAAAAATTTCAATTATCATTTATATAATACTTTATTATCATTTTTAGTAGATCTGATTTTTTTATCTAATAAAATAAAGATATAATAATTTATTGATAAAATTTCGTATTTATCATTAATTAAGTATCATTTAAATAAGATTTTTATTTAATATATGTTGTAATTATCTTTTAAAATTGAGATAAAATAAAATAAAATAAAACACATTAAATGATATCCTAAAAAAATGTAAATAATTAAATTTGAACATCTTAAATAGGAAACTCTATAAAAAGGTAAACAATTAAATTTGAACACCTTAAATAGGAAACTCTAAAAAAAGGTAAACAATTAAATTTGAACACCTTGAATAGGAAACTAAGTTTACTAAA